CCCGACCCTGTGTCCCTTCCCAGCCCCTTCGCCACCCCCTTTGCTCCTCCCGGTCCCTTTTCCACCCCTCCCGGTCCTGTTGCCATCCCCCCAGTCCCTTTGCCTGCTCACACTCGGAGTTCCCACACTCTCCTTGTCCCCGGGGCTCAGCTGCTCCTGCCACCAGCCCCGAGTGGCACCGACCCGGCTCGTCACTGCCGTGTTCCCTCAGCAGCCTTAAAACCAAATCGGCGTTTATTTTTTATCTGCTAAGCTGGACTTAGCCCCGAGCCGGCCCTGGCACACGCGGTGGGCTGGTGCCCGTGGACCCCCGGGCTGTGCTCGGGGAATCCCCCCCGGAGCAGCGCTGGGGCCGGGTTTGGGCTGCGGGGTTGCAGCATCCACAGGGGGATCCAGGATCCGGGGGGGATCCCGGCAGGGTCGCTGTGCCGGGAGGGGAGGGAGCCGCGCTGGGGTCTGTGCTCGGCGCTGGGTGGGGTTTGGTGGCCGAGGTTGGGTCCTGGTTGGTGCCAGCGGCACCCAGAGCTGCCCATGGGCACGGATCAGTGACAGCGACAGCTGAGGCACCTCGGGCTGCCCCGGCACGGACGTGCTGCACACCCCGCAGAGCCTTCCCGGCTGGAATGCCGTGGGACAGCCCCTAATCATCCCCCTGCCCTGCCCTGGCACGGGGGTCCCCCCTGGCACCCTCGCCCCGCATTTTGGGCACTTACATGGGCTCCTGCTCTCCTGTCGCTGTCGCTGCTCACCCCAGTGTTGGCATCTGGCAAAGACAAGCACAAAGGGGGGCATTGGGTGACAAATTCGGGGAGGTGGGAACTGCCAGGGGTGAGGGGTGTGGGCACCTCGATGCCCCTCCCTGGCCTGCAGAGAGGGGACATCACGGCCACGTTTCCCCTGTTGGTGCTGCAGAAACCCCTCGGCCGTCGAGGCAGCGCTGGGGAGGTCGGGGTGTAACGGGAGCACCGGGCAGGTCGGGCACTCTGAGCCCCAAAATCCTGGACATCCCTGTGGAGCTGCAGCTGAGGGGACAGTGACCCCCTGCCAAGGCACACAGGGGGATGAACAACCCAGAGAGTGCCCGGGCACCCTGAAATCGTGTCTGGAGGCTTCACAGAAGGAGAAGTTCCAGGTACTGTGGAGCAACCAGACTTCAGAGAAGAGCTCAAGACATCCCAGAGGATAACAGAGATCTGGGATGACTCTTGGGGCTTTTCCCAGCTGTGGAGTGGGAGAGAAAACTGGAAGGTCCCCAGAGCTCTGAAACAAAGCAGGGCTGGGGAGTGTGTTGGGCTCCTCAGGGTTCTCTGCCCTGTGTGGGCTACGGGGCTGAGGAGGCACCAACAAACCTCATCACCCCTCAGCCCTCCTGGCAGCTCCAAGTCCAGCCCTCACTTTGCTGGCATCTGAGTGCCACTTCCTGCCAAGCCCTCACCAGAAGGAGATATTTTTTTGCCCCCTTTGAGCTGCTTCTAGTTTATTTTCCCCTCATGGAACTCTGAGAAGAAATACTGGTTCTCAGGATGACACCTAAGACTCGATACTGGGAGCAAAACAGATAAATAAGAGGAAACCTTCTGACCAAGGACCAAAGGTCTGAAAGATATTTGCTTTCAAGAGGAAATAAAGATAAATAAATAAATAAAATAAAATAAAATAAAATAAATAGATAAATAAGTCAGTCTTTGGTTTTGTTTGAGTGATGGTGAGTCTGGTCCTTTCTGTGCTGGGAAGGGATGGACCTTCCCCAGGACTCTCGTGGTGGCTACAGTGGGTCCTCCCAGACCCAGGGAAAGCACAAAGATGCAGAATTTTTCCTCAAAGAGTTTTTCTCCCATGTTTTTGAGCTTCACATCCATTCACACAGGTTTAGAACAGGTTTAGAGCCCAGCTGAGTGTGAGGGAGACTGAGGAGGGCACAACCTCCTCTGCTCCTTGGGCACAGCTGGTGTTCCCATGGAGTTGGTGCCACACGGATGCCCCTCAATGCCCAAGGTCACCCTGTGATTTCACACCACCACAAAGAGCCTCCTGTGCCAGGCTGAGCCCTCTCCTGCAGACCCTCACACACCCTGGCAGCGGCGCTGGCACAGCCATGGCCGTGGTTGGCAACTCAAAGTGAGGACAAGGTACCTCTTCTCTCGCCCCTCCTTGGCCATCTCTGAGCATTGTCTGCCCACCCAACAGCTCATTGGTGGCCTCAGGGCATCCCAAATC